ATCTCCAGATACGAGATTTGCCTAGGGCATCAGGTCCTCTCTGGACTGCTGATTGCCAGGGGGACCACCTGGGGCTTCGCTCCAAGAAGCTCTAACCCCAATCCTTCAGCAGGCAAAAGCCAGCGCAGAGGCATTTTGTCACTACACGGCAGTCACTGCTGTGGACGTGGCAGAGAGGCATCTAGGTTGTTTCTGGTTTCTGGCTATTTCAAATATAGTGGCTGTGAACATAAGCAAGCAAATGTCCTTGTGGTATGATTGAGCATCCTGTAGGTATAAGCCCAAGAGGGATATTGCTGGGTCTTGAGGTACATTGATTTCCAATTTTCTGAGAAATGGCTGTATTTATTTCCATAGCTGCTGTACAAGTTTGCACTCCCACCAGCAGTGGAGGAGTGTTCGCCTTGCTCCACATCCTCTCCAGCGTGAGCTGTCACTTGTATTTTTTATCTTAGCCATTCTGACAGGTATAAGATGGAATCTGAGTCATTCTTACTTGCTAATTTCCCTGGTGGCTAAGGATGTTAAGCATTTCTTTGAGTCTCTTGGCCATTTGGGATTCCTCTATTGAGAATTATGTGTTTACATCTATGTCCCATTTTTAAGTTGGATTATTTGTTATTTTAATGTCTAGTTTTTTGAGCTCTAAATATTTTGGAGATCAGCTCTCTGTCCGTTGTGGAGTTGGTGTAGATTTTTTCCCATTCTGTAGGCTTCTGCTTTGTCTTGTTGACCGTGTCCTTTGCTTTACAGAAGCTTCTCAGTTTCATGAGTCCCATTTATCAGCTGCCTTTCTTAGTGCCTGCGCTATTGGTGTTCTGTTCAGGAAGTTGTCTCCAGGGCCAATGTGTTCAAGGGAAGCCTGTGTTTGAATGTACTTTGTTCTGACATCTTTTGGAAAAATGGAAAACGAGGGGTTAAGAGAAGAAATGGGATATGTGTACATGGTACACACACGCACTCTCTCTCACATGCACATGTATGCTCACGTGTGCGTGCACACACACATTCATACCTATGCATTGCCTGGTATCATATAAATGTATGTTTATCTTCTGTTCCAGTCTCCATCCAGTTTACTTCACACAGCAGTGTTCTGTCACAGTCACTTAGCGTGTGAGGAGCCCCTGCCGGTGGACTTCCTCCACTGGGAGTGGACAGCCGTGTAACTGACACGTTTCCACTCCAGTTCACTCTGTGCGGATGTCTTCCTTCACAGACATCCCTTTACACGGGCTTCACAAAGAGCTGCCAGTGTTATTATGCTCACTTTCACGTTCATGCTCAGGAAGGTTAGTTAATAGCTGTTCAAGATCAGGGGCAGCAGCCGCCTCTGTTGTGAGCCCGGAGGCAGATCCTCTGTGTGGAGCCTGGCTGAGGGTCTCCCCTAGACTGTCTGATGTTGAGCTGCCACTGACAGGGTCTCACACCCCTCCTTGGGTATATGTAGAAATGTTGTTCCCGGATAACTGGGTCAGCTGTATTTTGACACAATTCAGAAATAGTTCATGGTGGCTGAATAATTTTTTACCTTCAATGCTAGAAGCATCATCTCCTGATGTCCAGCAGGGGGTGCTACACAATAGTGGAATTTTGCTTCTCTCTGAGTGAAGCCATGAAAGCTAATACTGATCTCGAGAATTGCAGCAGCAAATGCCAGTGTCTGGTCTGAAGAGTAATGGAAACAAAGGAGACACCTTTTGAAGGTGTCTATACCATGTTTGGAGGTTTACAATTTCAACCTATCAACAAGTAATTTCCAACAGCAGCTAGTAGGTAAAACACCCCAAAATGTCCGTATTAACCAGTACCCCCAAAGTTTCACACTAATTGAAAGTAACCAACTAATCATTTATTTGACCACAAGGACTCTTCCACTTCACTTGTTTGTGTCTCCTTTGCCCCTTGTATTGACTGGATTCACAGGCATTGCTGCTCAGGGCATTGCACCTCTATACATCACTCTGTGCGAAAGAGTTGGACAGGCAGCTCTTGTAGGGAGCGGGTCCCTTATTCGCCCAGCTAGCTTACACCCGAAATAACCACACAGAAACTGTATTAAT